ATGGCCACGCTACAACCCCTTCTCCTCCATTCTCCTCTCGGGATCTTGGGCACACACGCACACACGCCCAGCCTGAATTTAAGCCACCAGGTCCAGGACTCGAACCGTGGTCGACTATATGGGAGCCCAGCGACATAGCCATTACGCTAGCTGCTGGTCCCAGGGAATGATTTCTTGGTTTCCCTCTCTCTGCCTCTCTCCAGTGAGTGTACTGGCCCTATGACAAAAAACAAAAAAGAAAGTGTCCCTGTTACCAGTATACATCCTGGGAGTTGGGGAGACAGGTGTGGGGAGAAACGAGAGGCGTCAGAGTGGAATCCAGAGAGACCATGGCAGTGGCAAGATAGAGAGCGGCCGGTTCTACTTGCGTGTCCAGAAGCCCCATGGAGGAGTCAGGTGACCGGGAAATTAAAGTCTGCCCCTCCGTCTCCCCGTCCCTGTAGGTCTGGACTATGCAAGTGAGCAGGAGGTGCCTGTCTCTACTAAACAGCCAGGATGGAGGAGTCCTGACAGTAAGTGTCCCCCAGGGAAATCCAGAAACCCCGTTTTCTTTATTCATTTTCTTGTTCTTGTTTTGTTTTAATATCGGCGAGTTGCCACCTTTGAGAATCTGCTGGCCCTGAGGTTTGGTGTGGATGTTCTCAGAGCAAGCCTGCAAGCACAGACATACCAACTTTCCCTGTGGCTTCAGAGTTTCAGCTTGCTGACCTCCCCCAGGTTCATCGTGGACCCGCCGCCCCGAGAATCCAGCAACATAAGAACACATGCTCTGTATGGCCGGGAGTTTAATGAGCTTCTGTAACGTTAGCTATCTGGTTTGTCCTACTTCATGATATCCTATGCAGGCCCTGCCTTGGTTGGTAGGGTCCTGAACAGCTGCGTGGGGACCCACATGGCTGGTCATGAGTTCAGGTCCCCAGTGGTCAGAGAGCACATCAGACTCGTGTGCACACAGACCCAAGATCCCAACGTGCTTGGAGGACTAAAGACAGAAGGCCACACGTGGCAAGACCTTGCCGAGGGTCTTCTCTCTCTCTCACTCGTGTATGCTGTCCTGTGCAAGCTGGATAGCTGAGTAATTTTATTTAAAATCTCTTTCTCCAGAATCAAAAAAGCCAGGCTGTATTTTGAAGCCAGTGAGCCTGGAGGTTATTTATGCACAATGATTTTTAGCGCCTTCGAAGAAACGTGCCGGAGTGACTTTCTTATTCTGCTTCTGACATTTGAGCAAGGCCTGTGGTTAGTGCGTCATAGCAGAATAGGAACATGATTCAAGAGGCTGGTTCCCAGCACCCTAGCACGTTAGGAATCACCCCTGTTCTTCTCCCTGTTAGGCAGGGCCCCAAAAGCTGGAGAAGCAACTGCGGTCATATCCAGGGTGCGCCTGGGAAACCGGCCCTCCGAAGACGGCAGACTGGGGACTGGCTCCAGAGTTTAAGAAAGTCCTGACAGGACCAGCAGTTAGCATAATGGCTATGTCACTGAACTCCCATGTAGTCAGCCACGGTTCAAGTCCTGGACCTGGTGGCTTAAACTCACGCCAGGCGCGTGAGCGTGCGTGCCCAAGATCCCGAGAGGAGAATGAAGGAGAAGGGATTGTGGCATGGCCATCCCCCGGGGGATGATTTCTCACTTTCTGTCTCTCTGTCTCTCTCTTTCTGGCGAGTGCATGCGCCCTATAGCAAAAACATCTCCAAAAGAAAAAAAAAGGAAGTCCTGAGTAGGCCCAGCACATCCCCCTGGGGCTAGCATTCTTATTCTCACAGTTTTCCTGAGGTCAGTTCAGAGGTTTTAACCTGCTCGCTATCCATATTCTCTGAAACCCTCTGACACTAGGGAACGCTGGGCGTATGAGAGAGGTGTCATCGTTTCCATCAGACCCTCAGAAGAAGTCCACGACCCCTCACGTGAAAGCACCACTGTTCTTGGGTGCTTGCGATTTTTCTGAATGGTCCACATCAAGACTTAGGCCTGCGCTAGTCCCTGGCTACACCCGCAGGGAATCCTCCGGCTGGATTCTCCAGGATTCCATGTGTGCCACATCTGGGTGCTTCCCAGCCTGCTGAGAGGCACCCCTCCGCCGCGGGAGCTGGCCCTGAGAGGGCACACGCCACCATCTGGAGCCGGAGAGCCGTTTGTGGTGTCGGCAACAGCGAGTTCCAGGAGCTGCTGGAAGCACATTAGGGAAACAAGACTGATAATGTGATAACACCCAAGGTGACCCCTTCTCCCTCCAGAGACCTCGTTAAAATGAGATGAAAGACCAACAGGCAGCATGGAGGTTAAGGTGGCTGGGTCCCACATGGCTAAGTCTGTGGTTTGAGTCTCAGAACTGGCAGCTTGAAAAATCCCTCGTGAGCATGAGTACCCAAAATCTGGAAAGAGAAATGGAAAAGAGGTGGTGTGGTCACTCCCCCTCAAGTGATTTCTCACTTTGTCTCTCTCTCTGGCAAGTGCACACACTCTATAGCAAAAACTTAAAAAGGGAGAGAGAGAGAGAGAGAAAGGAAGGCAGGCAGGCAGGCATTGGGCTGTGGGAGGAGAAACCCACACTGACGAAGTGAATAGACAAGAGGTTACCAGTGGGAAAGTAATTTTAACACATTTCTGCAAGACGAAGATCAGATCCAATTAACGAGGCAGGGCTGAAGAACCTTCCCGTAGAGTACAGATGGAGGGCAGCTCAGCCAGGCCTAGCAGAACTACCTCGCAAAACCCTAGAGAGGATCAAGATTTCAAAATACCACGGGCTGGCTCTGTGATCTGGTTAAGGCAGCCAGACCGTATGTGGCTTATTCTGTGGTTTGAATTCTAGCCCTAGAAGCTTGAAAAACACACTAGGGGGGACCAGCAGTTAGTGAAATGGCTATGTCGCTGGACTCCCACGTAGTCAACCGCAGTTCGCATCCCAGACCCGGTGGCTTAAAACTCACACCGGGCACGTGTGCGTGTGTGCCCAAGATCCCCAGAGGAGAACAGAGAAGGGATTGTGGCATGGCAATCCTCCCTGGGGGGGGGGGGATTTCTCACTTTCTGTCTCTGTCTGTCTGGCGAGCACACGCACCCTATAGCAGAAACCTCTCAAAAAAAAAAAAAAAAAACACACACACACTAGGTGCGTGTGCGTGTGTGCCCCAAATCCTAAGACGGAGAACGGGTTAGGATGTGACCATGTCCATTGAGAGGTGCTCCCCCCCCATCTCTCTCTCTCGCTCTCGCTCTCATGAGTACACGTGCCCTCTGACAGATTGTTTCTTTTTTTAAAGATCAAATTACCAGGGACTTGGACAAGCCCCACAGCTCAGTGTTAAGAGAACTGGCTCTTACGTTTCTGACTGTGGTTCAAACCTCAGCCTCGGTGACCCTGGGTGTGCATGTCCAGAATCCTGATGGGAAGGGATAATGGAGGAAAAGGGATCGCAGCATAACTGTGCCCATTGGGGAGGTGCTTTCTCTCCCCATCCCACCCTCCGCAAATGCACATAGCTTCTCCCGCTCCCCCCCCCAAAAAAAGTAGTAGGGACAACAGAGGGCAGAAGTGTGAGGAGGGAGGAGTGTGTATGGCCAGCGGGCGTCTGCCCCCAGACATAAAATCAGAACGTTTCTTCCCTAAAGAAGTGCAAGAGTGGAGAAAAGAATGCTTCCTAGCATTAGGGTGTCACCTCACCCCCTGCCAGTCAGAAACTTCCCGTAACGACAGCATTCCCAACAGTTTTATTAATGCCTTTTCTTACATGTGATTGGAGAGCTAAGGGTCACCAGGCATTTTAGGAAAGCCACACGCCCAAGCCCGAAACATCGACCTAAAAGAAATAATGCTACTAAAGGAAACAGAAGAAAAAATAGTAACTATCGTTTGTATCCTGAGAGTCAAGATAGTTGTACCGTCGGACTGTAACAGCTTACTATTTTAAAAAAGAAATCGGAGCTCGGAAGTAAAGAAATGAAATCTTCCGGAAAGTAGAACAAAAAGACAAAGATTCAGAAAAATAAAGATAAGTCAGAGTGCAGAAACAGATCAGTCCCGGAAGTGGGAAGGGCCTCGCGGCGTCGGACTGGGAGGCACCCAGGAGAGGACTTCCTCGGATCCAAACCGGGCGGGTCCCAGGGAAGCTGAGGTAAGCGGGCCTTTGGGTGCCCGGCGATGTCCACAGCCCTCTGGATCTGCCTCCCAGCAGCTTTCAAAAAAGATTGGCGCTTGCTGTTTATGATGTGGCTTTTACATTTTTTAAAAAATTGAGGTTCGTATTTGCTTCCAATGCTAATGATTGCTTTTGCCTCGTAAACTCCTTGTTAACCGTCAAAGGTCATCAGCCTTTCTGAAAAGGACGATTAATCATCCTTCTCGCTGCTTTTCTCAGAGAGCTGCTGGTATTCTGAGCCGGACACTCTCTTCCTCTCTGAAAATCGTTGAGGAGGCCCTGAGAGCAGGAGTGGTGAAGAAAATGATTAAGTTCCTGAAGGTAAGAGAAGTACATTGGGGGGAGGGGGGGCAGCAGGTGGCATAGTGGCTAAGGCGCTGGACTCTCATGTGGTTGACTGAGGTTCAAGTCCCAGACCTGGTGACTTGAAACTCATGCCAAGGGTGTGTGTGTGCATGCCCCAAATCCTGAGATAATAGAGACGGGATTGCAGCATGGCCATTCCCCCAGTGGGTGATTTCTCGCTTTCTGTTTTTCTGTCTCTGTCTCTCCAGTAAGTGCACATACCCTATGGCAAAAAAATAATCTTAACAAGAAAAAAAGAAGCTCATTGGTTACAACCTCTTCCATTTCCAGGAGCCTCCTATTTTTTTCAGGGACCACTAGACTTTGTTTAGTTCACGTACCTTTTTTACCCTCCGCTAGATGTTAAACTTCTTGACTAGGGAGGGGGTTCTTTCCTGCCTGTCCACCCAGACAGTGCTCTGAACACCAACAAAAGATTATTGAATAAGTAAGTAAAAATGATCATTAAATACATCCATAAAACTGCTTACCTTTGATACTGGCAGGTGGCATGGTGGTTAAGGGCACTGGACTTGTACACGGCCAACCACGGTTCACATCCTGGACCTGGCGCCTTGCTTTCTCACTCCCCTCACCCCTCTTTCACTCCATCCCTCTCTGGTCAAATTAAAATAAATAAATAAATAAATAAGTTGAATAAAATAATTATTTAAAAAAGAAAAAACTACTTCCTCCCTTGGGCCTGACTTTAAAACGTAGGACCTCCATCCTTGAAAAGGATGGTCCAGGGCATTTCTGGCAGGTTCTAGGCCCATCATTGCGCTTGTGTTGAATGTGTCACACATGTTCTATGTAACCCCACATGTGAGATGCGTGGGCTGCAGGGTTACGTAGTCCAGATGTCCCGAAGCTGCAGGGATTCCCCCACTGATGAGGGCCATGAATCTAAGCAAGTCAGTGCAGGACTTACCTGGACTCACCCGAGAGGGCGCGGTCGAAGGTCTGGCTGTCATCGCTCCATCCCACCATGGTGGACGTGCCTAGAAGTCCACGTGGCCACGTTCGTGTAGCGACACCACGTGTGCTAGTTGTAAAGCCCCAGCTGAGGGGGCAGGAGAGTGTGCTCTGGGGATGGAGGACGCTGGGTCAGGGGTAGACTGGGGCAGGATGGTGGGTCTGAGCCTGGGTCGCTGCTTAGGCAGTGACCACCATCTCCTCTAAACGGCTTTGGCACACCTGCCAAGGGCCGCTGATGGCAGGCACATGTGTGCGTTATGCATGCATACGTGCACACATGCATTTTAAAGACCCTGCACTGGGCACTTTTAAGGGTTATGACTTGATAGTTGTCACCTCTTAAAATGATGTGGATTAATGACGTTCTCCACGCGGGACTGTCAGCCCGCAGCCTTAGCAAGTCAGCCTCATTCTCAAATGCGGTGATACAGGTGCAGTGACCCCTTTGTGTCTCCATCAGTCGGTAGCATCATCCCCTCTCAGCTATTCCCTGGAAGCCTTCCAGAGGTAATCACTCAGGGACCCATGATAGGCCTTCGCTGTGTCGGAGAAGGTCCGAGTGACGCTCCGTCCCATCGAGGGCCGGGCCTTCCCGAGCTCAGCGGGAAGCACGTGCCCACCTCGTCTCAGTGGAACTCTTTCTGAGAAGCTCGGGAGCTGCTAGCACTCTCGTAACTGCTCTCTGGGGTCTCTGATCAAGGGCAATCACAGGAATGGGGACCAGCAGGTGGCATGGTGGTTAAGGCGCTAGACACTCCCACATGGCTGACTGAGGTTCGAATACCGGGCCTGGTGGCTTGCTTTCTCTCTCTCCCTCCCTCCCTCCCTATCTGTGTGTGTGTGTGTGTGTGTGTGTGTGTGTGTGTGTGTGTGTGTCTGGTCAAATTAAAATAAATGAATGAGTAAATAAAATTAAATAATTATAAAAAAGAGCAATCACAGGATTGATTCCATAAATTTCATTTTAAAATCTAGACAGGAGGCCAGATGGCGTCACGTTACGCGGTGAAGTCACTAGCAATCTGCACCAACAGCTACCACGAAGCTCGGGAGGAGGTGATAAGACTGGATAAGAGTAAGTGGCGGGCCCATGAAGGCAGCCCTCGTGCCGAGGTTAACCCGCCCCGAAGCTACAAAGGAACCTGTAGCTGAGGAACGAGGGCCGCTTAGGTTCTGCAGTTCACCGCTCCCTGCACCCCAGCACCCTTGACAGAGGAGCTGTTTCACCTCCAACCTGAAAGCCTCTGCCTAGCCGCTCAGCAGTGCCCTGGTAGGATGCCCCCGCTGGAGACCCAGCTATCAGACAGTTCAAAGACACCCGGATCGAAGCTGGGAAGCTCCCTCCACTCACCAGGTTAAATTGAACTCGTTTCTAAGACAGTCTGCTGGAGCAGACCTAGCCCCAGCTTTCTTCACAGAGAGAGGAAACACACGCACGCACACACACACACACACACACACACACACACGCGCGCGCACACACACACACACACGCGTGCGCACACACACCTTCAACCATTACTGAATGGGGCAATACCCGAGTGTGAACCTCACTTGGATCTAGTAACCTAAATCGGCTGTAGGTATTCATGGCAGGGGAGCCCAGCTGGGGCAGCCTGCCTGCACTCTCAGGCTTGACACCCGCCTCGGAGTACAGAACGGTGGACTGAGGCCCCCAGAAGCAGAGCTTGCCCTCTAGATCCTATTTCTTGACCTGCAGATATTAGATGGGCACTTAGATCTTACTGGGGGACTGGCAGGTGGCACCTCTCACTGTGGGGAAGAGTAGACGTTAGGAGTAGGGATTTGATGGGTTGAAGTCCTGGCCTGCCCTAAAAGAGCCAGGTGTGGTGGTGCGTGCCTGTGGTCCCAGCTACTCGGAAGGCTCAGACAGGCTCTTACACACACACAAGATTGGGGACTCTCGAGAAGACAGGCCTGTCTGGCACACGATGTGAGTTTGTGCTGTGCAGGACACTGCTCTGGGGACCTGAGATACTTCAGAGAGTCACAGGTGCTGGGGAGGCTCCTTGGCATTCAGGACTATTGGCTGACCACGTCAGAGCATCGGGGGAAGCTCAGTGTCCACTCACACCCTGGCCCCTCATGGCCCCTTGCAGCCTCCGATGTGGGGATGCAGAGAAACTGTGGCTTGTTCTCTCCTGCCCGGCAGAGTTCAGCATTTTGATGAAGCTGCTGCACTCGGAGGACGAGGTTCTGGTGGGCAACGCCGCCCTCTGCCTTGGGAACTGCATGGAGGTGCCCGGCGCCGCGTCTTCCCTCCTGAAGACGGACCTCGTGCAGGTCCTGTTAAAACTGGCGGGGGGCGACGCACAGCAGACGGCAGTGCAGCTGAATGCGGGCATCGCGCTGGGGAAGCTGTGCACAGCCGAGCCCAGGTACGGAGCGGAGCCCTCTCAGCACGCAGACAGGAAGCCAGGCCAGGAGTCCGGCTGAGCCCGGTGGGGGCCTGGGCTGGGGAGCCCTCGCGCTTGCTGAGCAGGCTCCTGTTGGTGCTTCTCTGGAGGAAGGAAGCTCTCCCTGAGGGACCTGGGCGCCAGCCTGGACAGGGACCAAGTTTGTCCAACAGGGATTTGTCCACCCCTTCCTGTCATCATCTTCTCTCCATCCCACTCTCCTTCTCCCTTTTGCTCTTCCTTTCCCTTCCCCATGGCGCTGTCTCCTCTTCTCCCCCCCTCCTTTCTCTCTTCTCCGCTCTCCCAGGACCACTGCATCCACTTCATTTTTTACCAGGGCCTAAACAATGGAGACATGTCCAGTGAGGGTGGCTGTCACTTGCTGGAGGGAACGGGCTGCAGGAGCAGATGCAGAACGGCCTGTCTGAGCCACCCAGCAAGGGGTCTCGGCTCTGCGTGTGCGGCTTCTCTTAGCTCAGACTTCTGCTCTGTGTGGTCCTGGTGTGATTGCTGAAACCCTGAATCACGTGCCTCTGGAAGGTGTCTGCTGTGGCTGCCGTTGACGTGGGGCAGCCTTTGGGAATGGAGAGAGGAGCTCTTTCCATTTCAGCTCCAAGCCTCTAACCCTCCTCTAGAATGAGAGCTGGCCTGGAGGACATCGAAGCTCCTTTCCAGTTCTAATTGTTAAAATGAAAGGAATAGCTGAGACCATTCTTCCACAGGAAAGAAGGCCATTAGCTAGGGGTGAGCTCCAAGTGGCACCCCCCAGGGAGTTCCCAGAGCAAGGTCCCATCTGATCAGCCTGGCATACCTGCCACCTGCATGGCGAATGTTTCCAGCATTTTCTGGGGCTCTCTGGGAACCTTCCTTACCCCTTACGATCTTTAGGGCTCCCCAGGACCGTGGCTCCATCCCCTTTCCACCCAGTGACAGCGCTGACATCCCATCCTCTTCTGCCTACAAGGGGGATGGCTCTGGACCCAGGGCTCTGGACCCAGAGGATTTATGCCCTGGATTTCTATCTGATTGTGACAGGTTTGTCGCTCAGCTGAGAGAGCTTCATGGGATAGAAATTCTCAACTCTACGATGAAGTATATCAAAGATCCTTGAGATACACGATGTCTCTGCATGTTTGCAAACTCAGCTGAGTGTGAACACACGCACAGCTACATGCAAACACTACTGACTGCTATGGGCTGTTCCTGTGCTAATAAAGACCTTTTAAACATCCGCTCCAGAAGCAAATACCTGTTTCCAGAGCATCTGCCTGTTGGTCTCATCAATAGCAAGGCAGCAGTGGGAACCGCACTAGCTTGCTCAGTGTCCGGCGTACCCCCCAAGTGTTCCCTGCTGTTCTGCAGAGGGTGGAAACCAGCAAATGAAAGGCCGCAGTGCCCAGACTCCCTACCTGCAACAGTTCTAGTTGGACCCCGTGGCCGGCACTTCCTACCCCTTCTGCTATTTTCTGCGTGCTAGAAACATCCGATTTGGGCAGTGGCATTCCAGCCTCCATCATCCAGCTATGTGGAGTGCCACGAGGGGGTTGCAGTGGCAGAGAGGTGGTGGCGGCCTCCTGAAGCCCAGCCCACAGCTGCAGCATGTGCTCTTGAATTTGGTGCGTCAGTCAGGTGGTGGGTGGTGGCTCCCTGTCAGAGGAGCTCTGTGGGGTCCTGGGAATCATTCCTGCAGGTCTCCCCCCACCCCCAGCATCTGTGTCAGCACCCCACTCCATGTGTTCAAGTGCCGGCGTGGGGCTTCTGTTCCTGCAGCGAACACTGGCTGGTACAGACATCCTTACTGCCCTGTTCCCCATCTTGCATTCCCACCCGGTCCCCAAAGCCCAAATGCGCCATTCCCTTTCTGTTACCTCAGGGCCGCCCATGGAGCCCAGACCCCTAAATGAAAAGTCCCGAAAGTGACACCACTCAGTATACTGGCTTGAGCATTCAGGGTAGAAGGGCAGGATCTGCATGCAGTGAATGCCAGGAGCCCTTCACCCTCACCGAAGTGCCAAGGACTTTGGGCCCTACCGTGCTACCTACCAGCTGTGTGACGTGGGGCCAGCCAATTAACTTCTCTGGGCTTTGGCGCTGCTTCTGGAAAAGTGAGCACAGTACCTGTCCCACCTCCCTGCTATGGTGCTGTGAAGATGAGAGGGCATCTTGGAGGAGAAGGCACTTTGGGAACCCCGAGGTGGTCCACAGAGATAAGTCATTACCAGGCTCAGTCTGAGGTTGAGGGGATTAACTACAACCCCTGCTGGGTTAGTGTGAGGGTCTGGAAAGAGTAAATCACGTGTCCTTAAAGGAATTAAAGCTAGACATTGTCTGAAGCAGTTAGGGGAGAAAACCCTCCACAGTTGTACCCAGCACATCCAAACACATGGCACTTCAAAAGTGAGGCAGCCATTGGTGTAAATTAAGAACTTTATTCCTGAAACCGAGATAGATATGTAGCACTTGGCAGGGAGTGGGGGTGGGGTGGGGGGTATAAGAAAGTCAGTACCCCAAAGCCCTCCCTGTGGAATTGGTGCACTGCGTGGGTCTGGAGCAAGCTCACCCGAGTTATTTTGCGAGGGCCCCTGGGTGGCAGGCAAGTGACAGGCCACAGCAGAGTGGCCAGGACCTCCCCAGCCTGTCCTAATCATGCAAATGAACACCCCTCAAAAGTCTGTTGAATTGCCAAGGGAGAGTGGTTTCATGCTAAACTGGTCAGAGAAGGAAATTAAAGGCCGCAGGATGGGCTGTCCAGAGCACAGCAGTGTCGGAGAGCGTGGGAGGCAGGGCTCGTGTGCACAGCCAGCGGGCGCGTCTCCTCGATGCTCAGCTCCCTCTCAACGCTCGGGCTGCACTCCTTCCTGGCTCTTGAACATGGCTATTCTAGATGCGATCTCTTTCCCGAAGAGTGGGGAATGTCAGATTATGTTATTATGTCTGCTTCAGAGTGCCTGCCGAGAGCGGTCATCGCTCTGGAGGCGAGTCTGCAGACCGAGCAGCTCGCTCCTCTCACAGGCGGACAGACAGGCTTCGCCTCCCAGTGCCTCCATCCCCGCGGCCGCGCTCCCCCTCATCTCACCTCTGACATGCCACCAAGCAAGGCTTCCGGGCAACAGCAAGAAACAAAACAATGGCGTGGTTTTTGTTTTTCAGTTTTAATTTTTTAAATATCACATCGAATCATATATATCTTTGCAGTATAACATTTCTTTTTCCAGCATGATTACCACACATGTCAGTCAAGACAAAGACATTCCTATGCACATCGGCAGCAGCAAATAGCTTTTCATTTTTCGTCAAGCATACTTTTTTCTCTTCTTTCCCGTTTTTTTTTTTTTCCTTTGTCTTCCCCTGTTCCCATCCCCCCTATTATCACATCCTTACTGTCTCTGGCATTTACCATTCCCCCCCGCCCCCGCTACCGTACCTCCCCAGCGCTCAGGTTCTGCTGTAGCGTACAGACAACCAGGGTACCGTCTACGGGGACATACAACGTCTGTCTTTCGTAGTCTGTTCACTTAGCAGGACGTCTTCCATATTCGTTTACTTTGTATCAGTGTCAGGGTTCCATTGTTTTTCATGGCTGAGTAGTATTCCATAGAGTTCCTATGCCACATTTTTTTCAATCCACTTATCTATTTTTGGACATTTGAGTTGTGTTTAACAAGGACCTCAGGACCAGCCAGGTGGTGTGTGAAGGCATTGGACCCCACATGACCAACTGTGTTGTTCGAGTCCTGGAACATCATGTCAGGCACATATGTGTGCATGCCTGAAATCCTGGCAGGAGAATAGAGAGAGGCAAAGGGATTGCAGCATGGCCATCCCCACTAGCGGGTGATTTTTCATTTTCCCTCTCTGTCTCTGTCTCTGGCAAGTATATGTGCTGTTAGAGCAAATAAAAATGAAAAGAAGTCTCGCCTCTGTGTGCTAGGAGTAACTGGCACCAACCTTACCACCCTCTGGGGCACGACTCATTCTGGGAAAGCGGTGTCTGCTGGTTGAACGGGCAGAGGGGCTGGGATTATCCATCCTAGAGAGGCTATGGCCAAGATGCAGCTCAGACTGTCCTGAAGCCACAGCAGAGGTGTTAGGGGACGTGGTAGAGGGCCGTCAACTGTCTTCAGCTGCGGCAGCAATTGCGGTGGGCAGCAGGTGGGATGGAGGTTAAAGGTCGGGAGGAGATGAGAGGGAGGGGTCAGAGGCTGCCACAGGAAAGGGTGCCATCCTAAGCAACTTTCTGCGCAGGGGTTAGAGCAGGAACTCGGCTGGGAGGAGTGAACGAAGAGGACCGCTTGTATTACGTGATTTTGTTTTTAGCATATGTTTTCATTTTCTAAATGTCTTGAAAACACAGGCTCTCCCCCAGGGCCCAGGGAAAGGTCAATAATCAGATGTAAGGAAAACCCATTTTGAATTGGGTCCCTTCCCCATGGGAGAGGCTCTTGGTCCCCGGCTGTCCTGTAGGCCTGGTGCACGTGCTCAAAGATCCTGCCCCCAGAGGCCTCACAAGGCCCCCATGAGGAGGTCTGAGCTCCACTTTATGTAAGGAAATGAAAGATGTGAAATCCTTCCTGACCCAGGACCCTGTAGCCAGGAAACAGGGAAGCCAGGACTCGACCCCAGGCTGTGCCGTGAGCTACTTCTGCATGAAAATATCCCTCCACTTACTGAAGGTGCCCTGCGGGACAGCCACTGGGTTCCCTGAGCCTTGGTGTCTCGGTGGAACGGGGGCGACAACTACCTCGCCCTCTGTGGTTTGGGTGCCGTGTACGTGCAGTGCCGGGCATAGGTGGCCACACAAAGAAGACGCAGACTTGAGGCCGACCATCGTTCCTATACCGGAAGAGACCACGAACTCCTCCCCTGCCCCTCTGGCCCTCCTGGGTCTGCTCCTCCTCCCAAGTTCTCCGCCTCACTTCCGGGAGCCGGTCTGCCCTATCTACCTTCTCTTCCCTGTGCCCAAGGCAGACGCGAGGATGCCCCCAGACCCAGGTGCTGGCCCGCAGCCCGACCGTGGCAGCCAGTTCCGAGAGCACAGGTGCACGCTCAGGACCGCGACGGGGCGACAGCGTCTCCCCGCCAGAACTCAGGTGGCTGGGGTCTGCAGGGCCAGTGCTGGGCTGCGTTTTCGTTAGCAGGAGCCAGTGGGTGCCGGAAGGTGCTAGAATCCATGCCCCCAATCCGCTGCCATTTCCGTCCCCCCTCCGTTTAGAATCAGGAAAGCGTGTCGATTCCAGCATTTGCAGCACCAGTACATTTAGCCACACAACCACTAGTTCGTCGCAAGCCCTAGAGCTGCAAGCGCGGCACCCTCCCC